GGGACATCACTTTTTATCTAGTTCTGCAAAAGGCTAAAAATAAGCCTGATGTGAGGCAGAAGAAAGGAGCCTGAAAATGGATTATTCTCATTTTTCCTGTAATGCAATTTGCAGATGTGCTGTGTTTAAGGCAGCAGAAGAGGTGTCTGGACTAGGGATGGTTCTTTTTGTGGCCTGTGGCTCTCTCTCCTCTGTAAAGAATTATTTTCTTCCTAGTGTTTGTAGCCTCCACTTTTAAAATGAACCATCCATCAGCACTGCAACCCAGCAAGAGCTTCCACACCCAATCCAAGGCATTAAGAGTAAAGCTGTTTTCTTACGAAATGCTTAATTTTAATTTTAGGAGAAAGGAAAAACCTGCTGGAGCTGCTTAAATAACCTTCTTGTCATGTAAACAAATGGGTGAAGGATTCAGGCTTGCAGGGGCTCTCGGGTGCTGAGTGGTCGATGGTTTAAGACTTTAAATTCCTTTGTCCTGAGCAGCTGCATCGGTGCAGTTGTTTATCCCTGCTCTGGCAGGGACACACACTGCAGTTGCATCCTGCTGCCTGATCTGCATTGCTGTATCCTCAGAGAAGACCTCCAGGATTGCAGAGAGGGACTGAGCAATCAGCAAACCTGGATTTCCACCCAGAGCACCTTTTCATACCTCTGGGAAAACACGCGGAAGGTCTTGCGTCTCCGGGTATAAAACCAGGGATTAAGTTAAAAAAAACATTAAAAATTAAAAAAAAAAAAAAATCCTCTGAGGAGTAGATTATGTTGCACCTGCACGAGGTGTTTCTCAGGAAGAATCCAGGTGAGCTTGGTTTTCCTCAGGAGCAGCTGGAGTGACCCGTGGCTGGGGACGGGATCCCTGCTCAGCACAGCTCCTGGGGAGAACATTCCCGTCCAGGAAAGGATCCTGACACACACCAACTGCAGTGATTTACAGCCCTGGCACCAGAAGCTGTCACAGCTTGGGAAAAGGACTTTAGAAAATTGCTCTTTGTAACAGAAGGAGCACACTGTTCCCTCTTGCTGGTGAAGCTCCCAGGAAGGGCCATGGAGGTGTTTGCTCCTGGGCTCTCCAGGGGGAAGCTCTGTTATCTCCCAGATATCTGCACTGGGAGGGGGGAAGGGGACACACACACAAACCACAGGCACAATTCTCAGCAGTGCTGAGCTTTCACTGCCACTGGAAGAAGCCCCTGGAGCGCTCCCAGCCCTGGAAGCTGTTCTGTGCCAGGGCTGCACAGGTACCTGTGATGGAAGCCGGGGATAAAAGTGCAGTTATCCAATTCCTGATCCATTTCTGAGGGCCCTGCTGTGGCAACACTGTACGAATCATCTTCCTAAAATCTACCTTGGGTCTCACCAATTTTCCTTAAGCAGGTAAGAAAAATCCAGCACACAGTGGAGTCATGCTTGGAAATAAAATACAACTGCTTTTTAACCCTCCTCTGCAGAGGAACAGAATGGGAAAAGAAAAACAAGTCAAGTGAAATCACAGCAGGAATTGTATTGGAGTGGTCTGAGAAAGAACTGAAGTATTTATCATTACTAGTGCCTAAGAGCTCTTACAGAACCCGTTCTTAACAGTTTTCTCTCTCTTATCACTTTGGAAGAGTGGGATTAAATTTGTGTTACAAAAATTGCCCCCGAAATGATTGGATTAAAGCCCAGTGATGTACTCTGTCCTGTTCTCTGCCAGCCCTACATTTACTAAAAGCCTCTTTAAGCTGTCAGACTTCTGAAGCAGCATGACAATAGTTATAAAGAATTGTGTTTAAAAAAATAAAAAATAAAAAATAAGGAATTGCTGTAGAAAGCAATTTTTTTCACGAGTGTTTTTGTGAGAGGGGCAGCCTTGTTGACTGGAATTCCCGTGCCAAAAAAAGTCACCTACAAAATATGCCAGGAATTGTGGTAATGATAAAAGTAGTGTGAAAGGCTGGAAATTCTGTTTTTGAAAGGAAGTGTGGTGGAAGCTGGAGGAAGCTTTACAGGAAAGAGAGGTTGCTCTCCTGGTATCTGCCCTGCCCGGAAGGAGCAATTATCTCCAAGCGAATGCCCGGAGACCATTACACAAAGGAACAAACACACACAGAAATCCCGGCAAGAAAAACCCCGAAGCAGTTTTCACAGAGGTGTGAAAATGAAAGCAGGGAAAGCTCAGTTTCCACAGGCTGCAGAGAGCAGCGTTCCAGTTCTCTGCCCCCGCATCAGTTCATTAGGGAGGTGGGTGACACTGCCCCGTGTGCCCCGACCCCGGGGGTGATGGATGGGTTTAATCTCCGGCGCCCGCGATTCCCACAGGTTAATTGATTTCTTTTGGCAAAGCCCCTTTCCAAGACCCGGGGTCTGAGCAGCAGGACTGGCTGGAGAGGGAAAAACAAGGCATCTTGAAATAGAAATTCCTCTGTACCCAGCGAGTAATAGGCAGGAGAGGGGGGAGGGCTGGCAGGAAGGTGTGCGATGCCAAGGGCAGATGGCCTGGCAGGGAGGTGGGAGCTGGACGGCGGATTTGGGGTCCAGCACGGAGCTTTAAGCTGCTGAGAGCAAAATGCTCTGTCGTCTTTCCTCTCCCAGGCAAGCATGGAGCTACTAACAAATAAATCCTGCCCCATAGACACTGAGAACACTGAGAGAACCTGTCAGCAATGGCAACCAGGACCCAGCTCAGCACCAACCCCGCTGCAGCTGTGTCCCCCTCACAGTCTCCAGCCTTACTACAGATACTGCCTGACTTTTAACCTGAATGAAGCTGCTCTTTCCAGGAACCTCTCTGCAGGATGCCGGGGTATTTTTAACATGGGAGTGGGCACATCCCAGAAACAGCGCACGAGGAGTCATTGGAGGGAAATTATCTCGTTAACCGTTGTTTATGACAGTTGTTCTCAGTTTGTAACATGTAAGATCTGTAGCTGAATAATAAAAATTCATAAACAAATATGAGTCAGACCAGTAAGGAAAGGGAAAGATGCTGAAAGAGAGAGAGCAACAAAACCAGGTCTGACACCTGCACATGTTTCTTCAGAGAGTGGAGCAGGGGCTGTTTGGGAGGTTGGTGGGCTTTGGACATGAACAGAGCACAACCAAAGCTGCTCAGGGTAGACAGCAACAGAGAAACAAACCCTTCTGTGCAGGAGCAAGCAGAGCTGTGAGCTGTGATCTCCCTCCCAACAGTAACACCACTGCAAAGCTGGGGGTTTGGTCTAACAATTGTGTAAGACACACCAGCACTGGCACTCCGTGAGTGGCCAGCCTGTGACCTGCAGTGCCTCCTGAGCAAGACAAAGCCCCCTTCCTTGAGAGCTCCACTGGAGTGAGACCAGCTGGATACCACGGGTGCCTTGGCCAACAGAGAGGCCCATGTGGGCTTGATATGCTGATATGAAGATGGGAGTGATGTGGAATTCATCAGCATCCGAAATCCTGAGCCCCTCCTTCACCACCTGAGGTGCCGCTCGTGCCCTGCTGGCCACGCACGTGGTGCAGAGGGACAACATCTCCACCACAGTTAAAGGTGGAACAAGCACTCTCCTCTCTGAACACAGTCAAGACAAACACTGAAGCTTTCCTAGGAGCAGGTTAAGCACCCAGAAACTCATGTCCATCCTGCCATGTCCCCAACTAGTAAACGCCTGGACTCCACGTGCCCAAGCACAGAAACAGGGAGGCAGATGGAGAGTCTTCCCATCTTCCAGCCTCTTCTCCAAAGATTCTGCTGTAACATTTACCTCTTTTTTTCTCTTAGGAAGTCCTTCCTAACATCTAATCTCCAACTTCCCTTCCTGCCATTTAAAGCCCTTTTTCTCTGCAGATAACAAACCAGGCACACACACACGTCACGTCCCCACAGCCACGCTGAGGTTCAGCTCTGCAAGACTTCACCTCCTTACCACACGAGGTCTTGTTTTTCCATTTTTAAGCATCTCATTATAGGGGAATGTACATACTTAAAGGCACCAGGAGGCAGAAAACTTCTCCTTTCTCTGGTGTTTATGTGTGATAGTAAAAGGAAGGTGGAACTGCTCTTACAGGGCCACAGCACCATCTGTGGCACTGCTTCCAAATCCCTCGCACCCATCTGATAGGAAAGTGTGAGCTAGAAGGCACCACCCAAACTGTTCACACACTTATGTCAACCTCCAAACACCTTATTTTGCTCCCAGTTGTACTATGCCCACAAAGAGTGATATTCCAGGGCCCCTCTCCTTAAGGTACACTGAGGCTCCCATTCTCCTGGGGGGGAAAGGCAAAGGCAACTTCCACTCAACAGCAGACTAGTCACCTACCCACCATACTCAGCATGCCATTGCACACAGTAACTCTTATTTTTTGACAATTATGAGAAAGAGACTAACCCCAGGAGTTTGTATGTCATGTGGAAGCGTCTTCCGAATTACTGTAGTTGCCAACCGTGAGTTGATCCGAATCGGTTTCTTTACTGAAAAACAGTAGCTTGTTTTTTACAGGCTGCAGGGAGGGACTGGGAAAGCCTCTTGATCACAGCGCCCCTCGAGCACGCAGGACCCCACACACAGCTTTGCTTCCTTCTGGCCTCACCGTTCCTGCCTGCTGGAGGTGGTGAGCAGGGCACGGGGCACAGAGATGCGAGTGCCACGTGGAGCACCAAGCTCTGCGGGGCATCTCCCGCTCCTCACCTCGCAGCACAACGGTTCCAGCACAGCAGCCCCTTTGCCACGGGTGGCCTGGGCTGTGACATGCTCAGGCAAGGGTGAAAGGGGCCTGCCTGTGCCCCCCAGGGCTGTGCTCCCCTCCAGGCCACACGGCCAACCACTGAGATCCACCAGAGCAGAAGCGTGGAAAGGATGCCCAGCCAGCACCACCCAAGCCCCTGTGCCTCGTGCAGCCTCATGCTGAGCCCAGGACCTCACACAACCCCACATCCTTTACCCAGGGGGGACAGAGGCCGGGAAAAGAGTCCAAGCATAACGTTCAGGAGAGAGAACAGGCTGTGGGAGCTGCCTGTGTGCAATGGCCAGGTTACTCACTGTTGTTCAGCTTTGGCTCGGTCACTGAGGAAGAACAGGGCCGTGGCCAGGAAGAACATCCCTCCCAGGACGACGACGAAGGGGCAGAGCATGAGGGCGTAACCCAGGCTGAGGAACTCCCACACCGGGGACTCCTTTGTGCTTTGTCGAATCAGGTCTGAGATCTAGGGGAGAGGGGCACGAAAATGAGTCACTCAGATGGAAAAGAGACACGGGGCCAGTGGAGGGGACACGGTGCCCCAAACACCCGCCCACCCACCGCGTGCCTGAGGTTTGGAAGGGAACGGTGTGTTCGGCAAGAGCTCAGTGTCCCTTGCCCACTCCAGCCTTCCACGCTGGAGCCCGGGCAGCTCGTGCTGGGAGCAGCTTGGCAGGGGTTCTGCTCTCTCTGTCGCTCCTCTGGCCTGATCCCATATTCTCCCCACAGCCCTCTCATGCTCTCCTGGGCAGCAGCAGTGCCTGCATCTGTGGGTGTCCAGCCTTGGGGGTGCTGGCAGGGCCACGCTGGCACTGAGGGAGTGATTAGTCTCCTGCCACTCCTATCAAGTCCTGCTCACTCCCACACCTGACCTACCTTTGGGCAAGAGGAGGTACTAAATTGCATTTCTGTGCACTGAGTGGGAAGGGGGCAATGTTTCCCATAGAACAAAAAAAAAGGAGATCCCATCTGATTTGCAGAAATGGAACTTGACTGTGGAGTTTTGTGCCCATGGCTGGGGTGTGGGGCTCATTCCCTCCTCCAGCCTCCCAAGCCTGAAGTGCTCGTGTGTGTGCAAGATGTGGCTCTGCCCAGGGCTCAGACACAGGGGCTCACTCACACCAAAGAACCACGCACCACCAAATTTATGAGCTGAGGGAACCTGCCCCTTCCAACAGCCAAAAACCATAACTACGTGGAAGTGAACACAAGTCCGCACCTACACAAAGGAGCAGGGGCACACAATGGCATTATTTACTTCATTATGAAACGCTTTTGCTAAAACACAGCAAAATTTAATGCCTATCTGTAGCTAAACCCATCACATTTTAATATTTACTGTCCAGCCAACAGCTTCGCTCTCCATAAATCCCACAGGGTGGGAGCAGCAGCTGGGGTGGGTCTCAAGGCACTGGGTATTTAAATGTCCAGCTCTGTTTTTATCCATGACCTTTTGTGAAGGCAGAAACGCCAGTTTATACCAAAAGGCTGCAGGGGATTCTCAACATAAAATCCTACTGCTGTGCACACACACAGATCAGCTCCAGAAATAGTCAGGGCTTGTGCAGCAACTTCCAAACTGCCACATTACCCAGGATGGGAAAGGTGGGGTCAGACACAACCTGCACAAGCAAGTTCTGACATTCAAGGCTTAAATCTTGACAGTCAAGTGAGGAAATGTCACGTGCAGGAAGAAATCACCGATTCACAGCCCTGCAGCCACCTGGGAGGTAAATGTGTGTGGGGAGAGGCCTCAGCACGGGCCAAGCACAACAGAAGCTCACAGAAGGATGATGCTCATGGGGACTCAAACAGGTCACTGAGTGTGTTTGAGCAGGGAGACCCTGGAGCATTGGTGGTCTCTGGGTTAACACCCCTCTTACAGCTCCTCCTGGCTGGAGGGATGGAAAGGAGGAGCAGCCTGATGCTGCAGGTGACAGCACTGGGACAAAGCTAAGGAGGAGTTCCTGTCCCCTCAAAGAGAACTTCATTCCCAGTGTAAAACACACAAAGAAAAACAAGAGTGTTGCAAACAAGTCTCATGTGAGAAATGATGGTTACAGCGTCCTTAGACTGAAGCCGAGTAACAGCAGCCATTACTCCGGGAGATTTATTAAAAATCAGCAACAGGACTTGGATGTGAAAAGAAAGCACCCACAGTAAAGTAGCAGAGTGTGCTCTGCACCCAGGAGACAGGGACATCAGCTGATCATTAATTCCCTTTTGGATGCAGACACCTTAATTCCCAACATTTCCCTTACTCTTCATTATGAACCAGAATTTGGCACCGAGTCAGCCTCTCTGTCAGGCTGCAATAGCTGGAATTGAGGCTATTCTAAGAAATCTAGACATTCTAAACCACTTTTCATTATTGGGAATGGATATAATTATTCTCCAAGAGGACCAGACAATAAATCACTTGACAAATTGACATGATAAATCAGCAGCAGAGGATGAAAAGCCAGGCACGTGCTCCTGCTTGCTTTCCCTTATGGATGACACGGCATTCTAGGCTAAAACCAGCTTTGAAAATGTAAAGTCTCCAACAAGTAAAACTCCCAATGCATCTTGTCCAGCACTTTTCCTTCTAACACATTATGCTGACCTTTTACACCAACCAATCACGTTAATATTAAGCCTGCTGTATTTTTCATTTTTAACCCAACACATCCTGCAAGTGCACAGTTTAGGAAAGGCCATGTTTCCTCCCATCCAAGGGATAATTCTTCCCATCAGGCCAGCTGGGCTTTCTTATATAGGTTCCACATAATCCCCTCACCCATGGCTGCAACTCTAGAGCTTTACCAGGGCCCACACAGGCGTTTTTGCTGTAAACAGTCCCTGCTCTCTGTTGTTTTGTTCCACTGAGTTACAAGCCACCTGCTAAGGCTGGAACTTTGGCACCTCCTTCTCCAGAGGACACGGGACATAATTACAGACGTGGGCTCCAAGAATGACACACCGTTTGCCAAATGCTCTGCTCTGCACTGCCAACTCTGGGCTTTCCAGACTCCTCACGACGACAGCAGCCCAAGCTGGCCAAGGGTGATTTGGCAAGACCCAAAAGGAGCGTCGTTTTTGGTGTCTTGTCTCCAATGTGAGTAGCAGATCGCAGGGGCTGGTGCAGGGTCGGTGCCAGAGCTGCAGCCTGGAGCCATGTGTGGGATTCCTTCCTTTGTTCTGCCAGCTGGGGGGTGGCAAAAGCTTCGAAAGAACCCACGTTTTCCCGAGGTGTGGGGGTGGCAAATCGAGAAGGGAGTCCTGCTGCTGCTCTGCAGTCTGATCACAGGGCTCTGACGCCAAGCTCAGGATTAAAAGGTCCCCTCCCCTCCCTCGCCGTGCAGACCTCAGACCCAGAGGAATGACTTTGCTAAATCAACTTGAGCTGGTGGCATTCCTGCAGCAGAGCAGGGCTGGTGTGTGCCCAGCCAGCAGGACAGAGCCCAGCTGGACACAGTGCCCACTTCCCGGAGAAGGGACAGCGCAGCTGCAGCGGCCACGACCCCAAACCCCAAATCCCTGGCTGTGCCTCCTCCCGAGGGCAGCAGACAATGCAGGGACAAAGGGGAACTTCACTGCTTCCTTGGGAAGCACGTGGGGTGTGGTTTGGAACAGGGGACAGGCCGAGGATGTGGCAGGAGCCGAGGTGGGCTGAGCCCAGGGAAGGAGTCTGGACTCTGTTCTGTCCCGCCTGAACAGGGTGGGGAAATGAACTGATCTATTAATTAGAACTGATTTATTAATTAGACAGTGGAATGGTAACAACATCTCTGCAATCACCATTTCCTTCCCTCTCATTACCAAGCCAACATCTCAATTCCTCTGCAGTTGCTTGATTTCTCTGACATTGCCACTTGGGCACAAATCCTGCTACATAAAAGGTTATTTCTGGCACAAATACCTGATTTTCATGATTACCAGTCCGATACAAGCCAGGTTCTCCCTGGCTGCTCTCTCCAGTACAGTTTCTTAACACAGTATTCCCCTGTAACCCCACAGTGTCACCACAGTGGTTTGGGGTCCACCCACTCCCAAGTCAGAGATGCATGTGAAAGGTTTCTTTGATTTTTCTTAAAAAAATCTAATATGAATGCAAATGAAGATGAGAAAGCAAAAATAAGGGATTTTATAAAGTAAACAATTTGCTGGGCCTGTGGGGGAGCACAAGCATTTATACTGTGCTAAATGGCATGAGAAGCACTTTATAAAAGAAGAAGTAAACCTGATTTTTTAATGATATTTGTTCAGACAACTACAGAAAGGGAAAAGCAATTGTGGTCTAAAAGCTATTTGAATTTTAACCTTGGCATGTTTGGATGCTGAATCAAAAAAAAAAAATTCTGTTAATCTTAATTGCATCCTTTTGAGATTGCAAACAGATTTCATACTTGGCTGGTGACAGTATCAATATCCTGCATTAATATGTGCCCCAGAAGTACCCACAGCAAGGATCTCTGCACTGCTTCCCCCACGGCAGGTTCACGTGGCTGTGCCCTTGCTCCCCTCCCAGGACCACCAGGTGCTGAGAAAGCTGAAGTCAAAAGGCTGCAGCAGGTGAAGATCCTCCAGCAGGGGTTCTGCTGCAATGCCAGCGCGTGGACCTGGTACATCTGCAGGGCAGAGCAACATCTGCCTCCTCTGCAACCCTCTGGAGAGGGTTGTGACTCTGCTTTCTTGGTGTCTTCCACTGCCTTTCTCTCCAGGTCTGCTGTGCCCAGGGCTTGTCTGAGTTATCACTGAGTCCCTCCTGTCCCAGTGGGATGTGCCTCAGGAACGTGGAGGAGCTCACATGTGTGGGGATGGGGGTGCCCAAGCCCACACAGAAATGGGTTTGTGGCACAGGACCATGAGCTGGGAGCAGCTCCTTTAGCAGCATCCCTGTCCCTCCCCTCTCCCTGCACGGGCCCCTTCCCTGGCTGGGTGTCCCAGACACCTCCTCGCTCTGAGAGCTGCTCAGCACTACCAGAACTGTCCCTGCTGGGAGCACACAGGGTCCCCGGCAGCCCAGAGGAACAAACCACTTATTTAATGAGGTTTTTAGTGCACAGGAGGAGTGGCAGAGCAGATGGGACAGAGCCTGAAATACTCGAGTGCAACAACGACCTGCTCTGGGTTTCTGGGCTCTTCTCTAATGAGAGACTTTCACATACATTATGAATCAAAAATACTGAGAACCTGCACATCTAACCAAAGCCATGGGCATGAGAGGGGCACAGAGCTCTGGAAAAACACCAGAGCAGGCTGTGAATCCTTGGCAAAGAGCATTTTATAGATGGGAATTCATCTGGGATTTTAGGGCAGACTTGAATCTTGTCTGTTGCTGAGTCATCAGAAGTGGGAAGCTTGTTAGCTCGTTGCAATGAGGAGATAAATCCCATGAGGACTGGTCTCCAGGTGGTTAATTCTCCCCTTATTTTGCAGCTGACAGCCATGTCAAAGATTTGGCCTTTCAGTACACTACGAAAA